TTCTTTCACTAAGACACTTTGTCTGCTCTCCCTGATAAATTACTTAAGGAATTCTAAAGAATCTTGTAGAAGATGAGCTACATGACAGGCTATACCTGCTTTACAGTTTATAATACAACAAGTGTGTCCAGGCATTGCAACCATGTACACCACATGCTAATTATAACACTCTCAGACACCCAACATGGCAGATAGCAACGGTTGTAAAGGAAGTGCATTAATTAATTGACTCGCGCAGAACCTCTATTCCCCCCCGAATATCACATTATCTTCCACCCGGAAAATTCCAAGCCAAACTATCTAAAACAATTACCTGCAAAAGTGTCACTGGAATGCGTCGAGCTTTGTGGTCCCACAGTTGAGACATGCCAAGTTTAATAGAAATGACACCCGTCCTTCTTGATTGGGGACTCCATTTCTCATCTTTCATATTGGCATCTGTTAAACGTACTTTCGTAACTACAACTACTAGTCCTGTACATACCTGTGGCCAATTGCTTAAAGAGTGAAGAAGGCATCATTGGCAATCGGTAAATAACGCATTTGGTAAAGTATAAGCGTCCCATACGGTGAAACACAGTTACATTTTGATGCTTACATATTAACGCCATTTTGTCCAGTGCCACGGGTACACACGTGTTAACTGGGATAGTAAATCAATAATATACGGACATGAACAGACTAGACTGAGTCTTGCTCGGTGTCTTGTCTTAGTCTTGCCTTATTAGAGGTCTTGTTGGAGAGTGGACTGTGGCTCTGACTGTGGAGACTTGGAGCTATGGACAAATTAAGGAAAAAGCAACTAGAAGTATGATATTTTATTATTAGTTGTATTCTAATAACTTTGTCACTCACCAACAATAGGCTATTCAAGTTGTTGAAGAAAGAATAAAGCAATGGTAGAGCCAGAACTACAGTCAATCATTTTGATAAAACTCTTGCACAGTTGTAATCTGGGCAATGAGGGGGGTAAAGCTATAATTTTTGTCTAGTTTGTTGTGACAAGAATGTAGTAGCCAGACTCCTAGAAAGGAGCCTGGCAATGCAACGCTAAGAATGTACATGGTTAGTCTTGCTAGCCAGACCATTACCCAGCCTATATAGTCAGTGGGGTCCGAGACTATACACATGTAGGTTACATGATTATGCATTTGATATTTTGTGTCTTATTTTATGCTATCTACGTGTACATTGAATTTTACTCATGTCAATTAAGTTTTAAATGTATTTGGTATAGACCAGTTGGTGCTAAGTATAGTCATAGAATTTTAAGTATATTCATCGTGATACTGTAAATAAAGTAAAATCAATGGTTGTCTATGGAGCAATCGCGAAAAGAGCTTATTCTTTAACAACTGCTGTATTTATTCGTTACAGCAATCGTTTCAGCAATCTTGCTACTAACCATCATCCAGTGTCTGCAGTGGGCTCATGGACTTTACTAAATGCCACTAGAAGATATACATGTAGAAGCAAAGATATTGCTTTCTCCGATTCTACTCTTAATAAACTAAGACTCCAAAGTTGTGGTAGGAAAATTTTACTTTATTTCTGGTATCACGGTGAATATACTTAAAATTCTGTGAATATACATGTACATGTACTTAGCACCAACTGGTCTATTACTCTAACATTTACAGCCTTTGATAGCAATGATGATGTACATGTGTAATTAAATTTAAAGTTTGTACATGTTGATCTGCATATACACAAACATACAATGTACATATACATGTACATGTACATAAGATGTACATGTACTTGTGTATGTTTATGTAAGTGAGTAACTTTTTTCATGTACACAGTACTTATACCTCAATTTAGTAAAAGTAATAATTATCTTGTAGTATCGTCTCATTTCCCATTTTTACGACCTGGGGGCCGGCAAAGCCCCCAGGTCGTTCCTATAATTGATTTCACCGTCGTGCTATCTATATTTATAGATTTGTATGTCGACACTTACATTTCTTCTATGCATGTTGTATTAGAGAAATAACATGCCTTAGCAACCACCCACCCACACTCCTTTATGTAAGTGGGTGTGGCCACAGCAAACGAAATGGCAGCTTACACACGGGATGAAGTTATGAGCTTTCTAACAGCAAGAGAACATAGAGATACTGTCTAAAGACTTCCCTAGAAGCATTTGAAGGTAGAGAGAAACTCTTTAAGTTTTAAAAAGTGTCTACCTGTGCATGCAAGGTGTTGAAATCAATTATGGGAATATTTTAACACTGTTACGCTTGTTTATTTTAGGATTGATTTTGAAAGAGACTATGAAGTTTTATTGGAGCGTTTAAATTCTTTGCCAAAAAAATTATCGGCTAACATAATGGTAAGCATTTCATGACAATGTGCATGTACATGTAGCAATGATAATTTATTATAGTGTTCACTGGAATTTTTTTACTTTTGATCCTTTATGAAATTATAGATAGTAGTTATGCATGTACTAAATTGCATGTACGTGTATGTCACATGAGCTTTTGCAGGGGACTAATTATTTTTAGTTCCAGAGTATTATGCAATTATGTATATTGTTTGATGCAAACTTGTATCATGTCATTTTATCTTAAGGTGACATTGAATCAAAATATTCTTCCAATTGACTCTTGTCAATAATGTACTGGTTTGCCATTTTACTTAGATTTCATTTCTTGTCATAGGTACCTATTGGAAAAGTTGCCTATATCCCAGGACAATTGTATAGAACAAATGAGGTACTAGCATTCTTAGGTGATAATTGGTTTGCTGAAAGAACAACTTATCAAGTATGCTACATTGTTGAGCATCGCTTACAAGGTATTACATGTTAATATACATGTAAAGATGTACATGTACATGTACCACTTACTATCTATTTGATTTCAACATTTTCTTATGTTCAAATGGCTGCATCTAAAGTCTTTGTGGCTGTATGAACTTTTTAGATACAGGATTTTCACCACACAATACAGGCTTTATTGTCAGCAGCATTGCAAGTTACATGTACATGTACATGTATGTGTACAACTGTACATGTTGCAAAAGTACTGGCAATGTGTGGCTGCTTTGTCCCACATTTAAGTGCTGGACTAAGTTATACATGTGGTGCATGTACATTGTTGTGGTAACTATTTCAATGATTCATGTTTTAATTAAGCTGCATTGTGAACAGTTTACAACATGCATGTTCCCCTTTTAATGTGAACATATCGTATTCCCTTAAATGGGTGGCCCTACTCACATAAGTGCCTATCAATAATATACTACCACTATAGATACCCATATTTTACCCAGTACTACATGCATGTGCAGTATTGTGCACCTCTGTTTAGAGTGGTCCAAGTAGCCTAATTGTTCATCCTCAGTCTTCTGAGCATAGAGGTGCAGGTTTTAGCCTGGGTTTTGATCTTTATTATTTTATTATTTTGTGATTTTTGCCACTGTTAAGCAGTAAACGCCTAGGCCCTTATTCAAGGAAATATGGTACATGCATGTACATGTAGTTAAGGCATTGAATTTTTATTAAATGAAAACTTGAATGATGCCATTTACCTGTACATTGCACAGTGTGTAATATCAGTCACTTTTGATAAATAAATTTTGGAAACGAATAATTAGAGTAATCTAAGCCTTTATGGCCAACTAACAATTAATTATGACGAAATAGGAGGCACTAAGATGCATGTTTGGATAAGATATTGTAAGTCTGCCAATGCTTCTTTGTTGCTCAACTAATAATCTTCACAATCTGAATCTTGAACTTAGGCCTACTAATGGCAGTCATCTGTCCAGCAGAGTGCTGCTCGAGGCATCACTGTGAGTTAGACACTATTTTTGGCCTCTTCCAGCACAGGTCCATGTGTTATAATGCTGTCGAGTGTTGAAATTGGATGGAAATAATGAAATTAGAAGAACTTTCATTATAATTAACAAAACAAATAATTAGAATTAATTTTGAAATAAAAGTGCTTAAAAATTATTTAGAGGTGCGAAATTTTAGAAGAATTACGGTATTTAATTTTAGATGGGTCTCAATTTTTTCATTAATTGTTCCCTTCCACTGATAACATCCTCATGG